GGCCGCGTGCCGCCGCCCAGCCCGAGGAGAAGCGGCCCGAGTCCCCCACGGGGTCTGACACCGAGTCGGGCACTCCCTCGCCCCCGCCTCAGCTCAGCCCACCCCTTCCTCGGTCAGCTGGAGCCGGGCAGGGCAAGAGGGACGGGGAGCCGCAGGAAAATGGCGGCGCCAGGCTCCTCCTCGGAGCTTTCCGGGCTGCCCCCGGGTCACGTGACGCGGGCGCCGTCCCTCCTCCCTCTCCCACCCCTTTTCCCTTCCCTTTCCTCCCGACGCCCGCCCTCCCCTCGCTCCGCGAGGGAAGAGCGGGGCGGCGCCCGCGCGTTACGTGAAGGAACCCGCCCGGCGGGCGCAACAGGAGGCCGCCCGCCGGGAGTGCGCGGCCGGCCGCGTCACGTGACCTCGGCTGCCAACAGGTCGCCTCTGGCGGGGTTCGGGGGTCACAGAAGGGGAGGGGGCGGGGCGACGAGCCCGACGCGCGCCTTGGGGGAGGGGACGCGGCGCCCCACTTCACCCCACCCTAACGGTGTCCTGGTGTGTGCGGTTGAAGCCCACGGCTTGACAAAGAGGAGCTGCAGCTGCTCGCGGAGCTTCAGAGAAGGGGGTGCTCCCTGGCCGCGCTAGCAGTCAAGAATGTTTGGAGACGCCCCAAAGCTGTCCTCTGGGCTTAAACCATAGACTGCAGGCAGGCAGCCTCTTCTCCGAACCTGCCAGCGGGCCTGTCTGTATTGTGAAACTATTGAAAGGTCTCAGCTTATTTACCCCAGAAAGGTGTTCAGAAGGGTTCTTCTCCCCCTTTTCTTTGAGACGCTTGGAAGTGTCACCTGGTTTTGTTTATCTCCAGCCAAAACTGGACTTGTGGCTGCCGGCCTAAATTTAGATACTAAACCAGCTAGTGTTCATTCCCTAGGGTGTCAAATAGGACAGGAAACACATAGCTTCACTGGAATTTGAAAAGGGAAGTAGTAGGATGATGTCAACACGATTAGCTTGACCCTACAAGGCTGACTGCTGTGGTGATTAAAGGTCCAGACCATAGAAGGAAGTGAGAGGGGCGGTAAATGGAGAAGTCCCATTCAGAGATTCAGACATCAGTACCTGCCATCTCCCCTGGTTTAGCCTTTCTTCCCTCTGGCCTCTTTTCTCTACTGGTCAAGCCAGATTTCCATGGAAAGATATTGACACTGCCCTGTGGCATTTTGGAGAACTATATCCTGAAAATGGGTTCTATGAGAACCAGAGGCTCTATTAGCAAAGCCTTTTAAAATGTTATTAGTGCCCTACATTTAACCCAGAATTAGGTATAAATTTAAGATTCTCTGAATGTTAAGTTAGCATCATAATCAGATGTAATCTTGCTAGTTTCAAGCGAAATGCTAACATACTCAGAAAATCTGTGTACACCATCTGCCAACAAAGTCCAGAATACTGTGCTTCAATCTGGCGATTTTTAAATGATGAGAAGCTATTAGGTATTTAACATTTTACCTGTCATATCAGGAATTCTATGGTCGGTCTCCTCCCATTGCCTCTCTCACACACACATACCCCTTTTTACTAAGGCTGGTGAAATTCTGCACCACCACCAAGAACTAACAGTTCTTCAACCAGCGGGATTCATTTTTGTCAAACCAGCCTCAAATTTCACCAAACTGTAATGACTTCCTTCAGTGCATCTGCAGTCCTTCTGTGGTTTGCTGCCTAGTTTGCTGCCCCATGAAATCACACAAGTCTCAAGACATGTCAGCCATCACTGCTACTCGTCTGTTGCTTTTACTCCACGAGTTAAGTTTGGCCTGAGTCTCTCTACACTGATAAACCCCAATCTGAGGTCAACCCAAGGAGGATCTAGCAATCAGTAGCTAAATATTTTGTACTTAAAGACAATGTAAAAGTTATCCCTAAGCATATAGCAGGAAGCACATTTTTGGCAATATTATGGAAGCTAGTCTAAGAAATTATTTCAGTGTTTCAAAGAACTTCTTTCACATCATCTTTATGCAAATAATTGTGAACATATTTACTTTATTAACAAACTAGCTTCTGTTAGAAATATCACTACTTTTTTTAAGGATACATTTTAGAAGTGGCTAACATGAACATGTAGTGATGATTGTAGAGGTTTATGCATAGTTATGAAACTGAAAAATATGAAGAAATTTAGAACATGGGAAATTATTCTAAGATAGGAATTACTAATCGACCTCATTTTATTTGCTTAAGTCTCTGCTACGTGCCAGTATCCTTGGCCTATTCAACAAATATCTGTATCTGAAATCCCACAGATTCTCCAAATTCACAATAGCCAAAATTTTTTTGTACTTGCCTACCAGTCACACATCCTTAATCCATATGAATCCTCCCCTTTGTTTTCTGTTTCTGTCAGAGGCCTCACCACCTGCAGAAATGCCCAAATCAAAAACAAAACTGTGATTAATTCTGAGCTTTCCTTCTCATTTACCTCATCTAGCTCAATCTACTAAAATCTACTACCCCCCTCCTCTTTTAACACCACTTTTATGCCTTATTTTCAGCCTTTATGATTTTTTTTTTATGTACTTAAACTATTCCAGTAATTTCTTAGCTGGTTTGTGCCTCTCATATCTCAGTCCTCCAATCCAGAGCTTTCTAAAGCTAAAATAGGATTATCAGTTCTTTACACTAAAATTTTCCAGTACCTCTGGATAGCTGGAATGTGACCCCACACACACTTAATATGTTAGAAACTTAATCCCAATACAACAGTGTTGGGAAATGGGACCTCATAGGAGATTTCTGAGTCCCAAAGACTCTACCCTTATAAATGGATTAATGCTGACTATATAAGGCTCCTGGCTTCCTATTCACACCTGCTTTTTACTGTCTGTTCTAGAATAACGCAGAAAGAAGGCCCTCACCAGATACCAAGCCTTTGATGTTGGACTTCCCAGCCTCCAAATTGTGAGTCAATAAGTTTATGTTTCTTATAAATTATGCAGTCTGTGGTGTTCTGCCATACCAGCAGACTAACACAAGCACCACTGTCATCGTGGTAGGGGATAAAATTCAGGGCTCTTATCCTGGGATATAGGGCTCTTGAGATTCATCTCTTTCCATTCCCCTACATGCACTCCAGCCAATATCCTACTACTTACCATACCTGAAGTACCATGCTGTTTACACCTCACAAGGCAAGCAGTGATCTCCTTTTGCTACTCTTAGAATATCTGGACGGCTGTGGTGGCGCACGCCTGTAATCCCAACACTCAGAGGCTGAGGCAGGAGGATTGTTGTGAGTTCGAGACCAGCCTGGGCTACAAAGTGAACTACAAAGTGAACTACTACCAGGCTGAACTGCAGAGCGAGAGCCTGTCTCAAAAAGACCAAAAAAAAAAAAAAAAATAGAGTATCTGTACATCTTTCTGTGATTGACGTATTTTAGCAACATGAGAGATTTCTCTAAGCAGAGTAGCAGAACTATCCCCAAGCTAATATTGTGACTGATGCATAATAGACACATAGTAGAATAATGTTACAAGGAATGAATGAAAACACTTAAATTAGCCGTTTGGATACACCATCGCTCCAAATCTTTCATTTGATAAAATCTGCTTTTTCACAAATATAATTAACCATCCCATAATTATCTGCCAGAACAGCATCATACTTGGTACTTTGTTAATTTACTCTTTTGGAAAATATGTATTGAACACCTACTCTGTATCAGGCACCTTTTTAGGTGCCAAATACTTTTCTAACAGTGAATCCATGAGTCCTTTGGGAACAAATCAATTCTCTACTTTGATCACCAACATGAAGGCTTGTTTGCTTTTACTTTACAAATGAACAGTGGAAAAACAGAAAGAAACAATGTGAATAGCACATATTATGTCCTACTCTCTCCCAACTAAAAGTGACATTATGTAGAGAAGCATAGGGCCCAGGGGAAGGAGCAAGTTTCTTGATGTCTCCTACGTGTTAGGAAAATACAACATCATTTTTTAAATTTAATTTTCATTGTAATAACTTCACACATTATCGTGCCTATCTAATACAGGGAAACAAACAAGCCTTAGAAGAACTTCCCAAATCCCCCAGATTATAAGTGGCAGAAGCAAAAGTTAAGGACTCATTCTCTTTCCATTACTGTAGAGAAGGACATTCTTTGTTTTTTGTTTTTGTTTTTGTTTTTTTTTTTTGATCTTTTTGAGGCAGAGTGTCGCTATGGAGTTCAGACTGGCCTTGAGCTCACTTTGTAGCCCAGGCTGGTCTCGAACTCACAACGATCTTCCTGCCTCAGCCTTCTGAGTGCTGGGCTTATGGGCGTGCACCACCAAGCTGGGCTATAAGGACATTCTTTGATTAGAATGCATTGAGGACACAATGATTTGTTTGTTAGAGTTTCTTAAGATAAGGCTTTATTATATAACCTGGATTAACCTTGAGTTTACGATCCTCCTGTCTCAGCCTCCTGAATGCTGGGATTATAGGCGTGTCTTGGATCTCATGTGGGGAAGGGTAAGCCTTTAACTATCCTTGCTAAAACATCTGGTATCTGCCCATTTGTACTAGCTACGCCCTTGGTTTTCATGGAATAAAGGTGACTGAGTGTGGTATTGGAGGGAGCAGTCTGAGAGGCTGTAAGCCCCCTGATCTCAGAATACTGTCTCTCTTATTTTGCTTGTCTCTCTTTTACTTTTCTTATTTATCCATGTGCACCTCGTTCTTGGGACCGGTTCACCCTAGAGAGATAGGGATGTGTAGTCCCACACATTACTTAATTCGATCCGTAAATCAACTCTTGAAGCAATTGCCAATATAGATTAAATTCATTCAGCAAATAGTTCTTGCCTCTATACAATGTGCTGGGTTATATAGAGGCAAGACATAATAGTGTGCAAGACAAACATAGTCTCTGTTCTTAGACATTTAAAAATCTTTAGCAATAGAGGAGAAAACAAGTGGGAAGAGAAAGGTGTGCTGTACCTGAGGAACCCTGCTGTCTAACTTAAAAGCAGGAAAATGGGAGACAAAAAAAGGAACACACAGGGGTAGGCAGAGCGTTCATGAACAAAAAGCAGACTGTGCAGGAAATACTTCAAAGAATCGACAACTGGGCTCTCATCGTATTAAAAAGTTTTTGTACATTAAAACAAATCACCAACGGAGTAAAAACAAAATCCATGAATTGGGAAATAATTTTAGCCAACTGTCCCTCAGACAAAGGACTTCTATCTAGAACATATAAAGAATTAAAAAAATCAGGCCCCCAAAATTGAAAGACCATGAAAAAACAGGCATCTGAGATGAATACTCACTTCTCAGATGAACAAATACAAATGGCAAATAAATAATGGAAAAATGTTCAACAGCATTGGTCATTCAAGAAATGCAAATTAAAACAACACTGAGATTCCATCTCATCCCAGAAAAAATAGCTATCATCAAGAAATCAACCAGTAACAAATGAGGGGCAGGAGTGGCAGTTGGTGGGAGTGTAGACTGGTGAAACCACTGTGGAAATCAGTGTGGAGATTCCCAAAAAAATTAGGATTAGAGGTCCCACTTAACCCAGCTATTTCCCTTTTGGGTATTTTTCTAGAAAAACTGAAAACATCATACCACAGCGATATATGTGCATCCATGATTATAGCAGCACAACTTGTCATAGCAAAATCTTGGAAACAACCCAAATGCCCATCAACTGAGGAGTGGATAAGAAAAATATGGTATTTTTATACAATGGAGTATTAGTCAGCTATAAAGAAAAATAAATGCGAGGCTTTTGTAGGTAAAGGGATGCAACTAGAGACCACACGCATAAGTGAAATAAATCAGACCCATATGTGTAAACATCATATTTCTCCCTATGGTAAGAACCTGAAAGAGTAAATAAAATCTGAAAGGTACAATAGATATTCTAAAAGGAAAGAAACTGCTCAAAGGGAAGGAATAACTGGGATGAGGGAGAGGAGAAAAGAAAGAAAGAAGGAAGGGAAAGTAATATATATGTATATACAAGGATAGCTGGGATATTGTACTGCTGATTTCTATTGGGTTATTGAAAGGAACAGTTAATGCTTACATTTTTTTGACCAATTGTGCATGCTTATATCTGGTAATATGAACAACTAATGATTGTTGTATTATATACTGTTGTCCTCAAAACAACCATTGTTGAATTCCTCTCATCTTGTTTAGTGAAATTCTGTATTGTTTCTAATGTTTTTTATTATTTTTTATTCTCCTTTAAAAAGTTTTTTTAAAAGGAACAGAAAATTGACCAGAATTTTTACTTATTATTACACTTAAACTCATTCACAAATCCAGAGTCTGTTTGTTCTTAGACATTCAGCTTATCTAGAGTATACTCTTTTGAGGTTCTGTGAACTAAGCTTATATGAACACCTAGCAACCCCTTCCTCAAACGCCTTTCTATGTTTACACTTCCTGATGTGGCCAAATCAGTAAAACATTACCTTCTGTCGCCATACAAAAGAGTAAGGACTTTTCTTTGCAGCCAGTATTGCATTTCCAACAAGTTGTTATTTGTTGATTACTTACTGAGTATCAAGCACATTACGCATGGCATCTCTTTCACCCTAGAACACCTTCATGACCTTAAGAGGCAGAGACAGCTTGTGTTCACCGAACTTTCCTTTTCCTTCTGAACACTGTACTTCCCAGCCACTCATGATTAGTTAGGGTCATGTAACTGAGTTCTGTCCAAAAGAATGTGTACAAAAATGATGAAAGCCATTAATGTCTTGGCCCAGAATACCTTGAAAACCTCCCACAAATGCTCTGCATTGTCTTTCTTTCCCTACTTACCAGTTGAATAAAGTCATCAAAGAACCTAGGGAGGTTGAAACTACAAAATGGAAGAAGCCTGGGATCACACAGGAATCCTTGGAGAAACACTGCCCGGGAGAGCTGCATGACCAAGAACACTTGTAGTAGATTTTATTTGCTTTATTAAATTATGCCTCTGGAATTTTAATGTTCCTTGATAGTAATTATCCTGCCTAATACACTTCTTTTCTTTTTAAAGAAATTGAAGAGATAGAAGAAATTGAAGATAAAGAAATTGAAGTTTAGACAAAGTTTAAACTTCTTTTAAAGAAATTGAAGATAAAGAAATTGAAGTTTAGACAAAGTTTAAACTTCTTTTAAAGAAATTGAAGATAAAGAAATTGAAGTTTAGACAAAGTTAAGTAACTGGCTAATTTTCACTCAGTTACTAGGTAGCGAAACTAGGATTAGATCTCTGGTCTCTCTGACTGGACTGATGACAAAGCCGAGACTGTCACTGCTTGAATTCCTCATGAAACTATTTCATGTACTTCTAAAATTTTTATAGAAGTTCCATTTGGCCCTTTCATACATACTCGTTCATTTAACATGGCTTCAGAGACAATCAGCACAACCTCCTGTGTGTCTAGCTTTAACTGCCTCCAGGCTTTCCCTTCAGGTATATTAACTTTATAATCTCAATATGACTTATAATGTTTTTGGACCTTTTATAGCTGTTAGATGATATGCAGACTGGTGATTAAATACAACCCTTCCCTTACAATGGGACGTTAATCAAACTTTGACCTCAAATCATCACAAACTTTCTAATTAAAAAGCAAAATTTAAATGAAATGCTGAGATATCTGAGGTGTGTTTTTCTCTACAACTAGAGGCTGAATCAAGTAAAAATGAGTTTAGTAATCCAACACAAAACTAAAAAAAAGAAGATCAAAGATTTAATGTTAATGTTTAAAATGGGATATTATTACCAAAAGGTATCAGTGAAGTGAAGGAGATTTATTAATTCATTTGAGATAATGGGAGAAATACTGAATATAGAGTCATGGGTCTGAACTCAGGTTCAAAACTGGGAATTTACTCAGTTTCTTCATATGCAATATAAGAATAATAGCACATATCTTGCAGATTTCCTGTCAAGGTTAAAATAATGTACACAAAAACTAGTGCAATGCTTGACATATGATTGTCACTCAGTAAATAAGTCAACAAACAATCACTCAGAATGGTCTGTGCACAAAACACTCTGCTAGAGAGCTGAATTAGACAACATATTGACATAATTTGTTAAGTTGTACAAAAGTATTTTATTGAGTATTATAAGAATAGAGAAGAGACACCTAATTCTGCTTGAATGGATCAGTAAAGGTTTACCAGAGCAACAAACATTAAATTGACTCTTGCTTTGTGTTTTGAGAAGAGGTCTTGCTATGTTTCCCAGGCTAATGTTGAACCATGAGTTCAAGTGACCTTCCCATCTCAAGCCTCCAAACCATGCACAACTATACCCACTTTTAAGCTGAATATTGAAGGATGACCAGGAATTATGAGGGAATTGGAAGCTACTGAAAGTAGAAGAAACCACACATTCAAAAGAATAAGCCATTTGAGAACTGAATATAGTTGCATGTGGCTAGAACATAGTGTGTATGTGGTTTTAAGCACCATTCAGCAAGTAATGCAGTTATTGAGTGCTTACATATGCTTGATAATGTTCCAGTCCCTGAAAGCATATCAGTGAACAAAATAGAAGTTTCTTGCTTTCATAGTATTTGTTTTCAAGTAGAGCATATAACAAAGAAGTGAATATGAAATAATTGCAGATAATAAAGATTGCTATGAAGAAAAAATAAGCAGTATAAAAGAATCATTAGGGGAGGAGGACAAATTGCAAGGAGTTGAAATTTGGCTTAAGTAGTTAGTGGGAGTCAGCAGTGCAAATATTGGGGGGAAGATCATTTCACATAATTGAATCAATGAGTATTATTACTCTTAGGAACAAGATTAACTTGTTTGCAAAGCACAAGAAGTACAGTATGGCCACAGAAAAAGTGACGAAGAAATAACAGCTTAGGAGGTGACCTCAGAGATATAGTCAGATCATGATGGTTTTTATAAGGCATAAAGAGAACTTTACATGATATGCAGAGGTAGATATCCTATAACAATCGTCAGCTGACCAAAGAGCCTTGGAACAAGCTGATGAAGGCGTGAAGTAGTGACAGTCATATGAAGTGACAATCATATGTCAAGGCCATTTCCACCCAATGCCATTAGAACAAGACTTCCCCAATTATCACATTCTTTGCTTTCATTTCTTCTTGACTTTGTATGTTTATTCCCATGGCTATTTACTCCTTCCTCTGGATTAATGTCTTTAATTGTTAGTGGCTTCCTTTGCTTATGGCATCCCCAAGACCTATAATTCAACATACTGTGGTAGACTTCAACAAAGCCTGCCCAAATTAAAGGGGGAAAAAAGATACTTGATTCTGTAAGGAATAGCTGAATGGATTAGGGCACATACTTATGTTGTCTGATTTTGAAAATCTAAAAATATAGTTTTTATTCCTTTTGAATTTTTAATAATTTTTGTTTTTAGTATCTCTCTGCATTGCAGTTGCCAGATAGAAGATCTTCAGAGTCTTAAATGCACAACCACTGTTACAAGAAATGATTTACAAATGGTCATCAACAAAAACAGGAAAACCTCTACTTGAGGTCAAAATGACTACCATGTAAAACTTTATATACAATTCTGACATTAAACAGCAATGCAAATCTACATTGCTCATATCTCAGAAAAATGCTGTTCTTCCAGGTTGGGCTGAAGCTTGATCAAAAGGAGGAGAACTGAGAAATGAAGCAAACACTAACAATTTGTAAAATGGATCAATAGTATCGTTCCATGACATGCAACATAAACTATTGACACTCTCATTTTAATACCAACTTGTTAGACTCAGAGGCTAAAAGATAAATCACAGATAGGCTTATTTAATTATAACTTTGCACAAATATGCATTCTAGCAATTCACCTAATTTACAGATTCTAAAGAATTACTGCCCAGACTATGAACATCAACCATAAAGCTACCCTGTGATTAAAACCAACTGCTTCCTAAATCCTGCATTTTTCCCTAAGTTCTTCCTTTTGAGACATTATTAAGACTTGGTTAGAGAAATGCTCCCCATCAGGAACTTTAACAAACCATGTTTTTTATTATTTTTATGATTTTATGATTTTTATGTCATGTTTTTTACGGAATGTGGCAGTGTAAATCATGCCCTCTCCCCACTCAAAGATACCCATGTCATAATCCCCAGAAACTCTGAACTTGTTATTTTAAATGGTAAAAAGGATGTCCCCAGCATGATGTTCCTGGAGTGACTAAAGATGGGGAGATTATGTGGGTGAAACTGATATAATCACAGAATCCTTACAAGAAAAAGACAGTTGGTCAAAGGGAAGGTCATGTGATAATGAAAGTAGAGATAGGAGTGATGTGGCCATAAGCCAAGGAAAGCCTGCCTCCCTGAAGAAGCAAAGAATGCATTTCCCTCTGGGACCTTCAGAGGAATGATCTCCACTGACACCTTGTTTTTCACTCATTAGCCTGATTGTAGACCTCTAGCCTCCAGAAGTTACTGTACTTCTTTTAGGTTAGAAGTAAAAAATTACATAGTAGAATAAGTTTGTTAAGTGATCACATTTATGGTAATTTTGTTCTTTCAGAAGTAGCTAACTAATATAGAAAGATTTTCAAAAGTATACTCTTACTGTATGGAGAATGAGATATAAAGCAACCACAGGAAGAGGGAAGCCAGTTAGGAAGGAATTGCTATAGACCAGTAGAGTAGTGATGTGATGTGAAAGAGAATCCTGGAGGGAGAGGAAGTAGGAAAGCTGGCAAGGAAGAAAACTTATCCAACTTGTATATATTTGAATAATAAACTTTACTTTTTAGAATACTTTCAGCCATATGGGTATAAAATATAATCAGTTTTCATATATCTTCTGTGTCCATACACAGTCTTCTCAACTGTGGACATCATGTGCTGCAGTAATGTATTTGTTATAATCAGTGATTCATCATTGACACATCACTATTAGCCAAAGTCCATAGTTTACACCAAGATCCACTCTTGGCATTCTGTGGGTTTTAACAAGTACATGATGACATGTATCTCCTGTCATAGTATACAGAATAGTTTCATTGCCATAAAAATTCTCTGCACTCTGCCTATTCATCTCTCCCTTCGCATAACCCCTGGCCACCACTGATTTTTTATTGTCTTTTCCACACAATAAAAAATTTTGTCTTTTCCAGAATATAATAGGATGGTATGATATATGGCCTCTTCAGACTGACTTCTTTTACTTAGTAATATTCATTTAAGATTCTTTCAGGTCTTTGCATGGCTTTATAGCTCATTTCTTTTTAGCACTGAATAATATTCTTTTGTCTGGATGTATTGTTTATTTGCCCCTTCACCTACTTAAGGACATCTTGGTTGTTCACAAGTTTTGGCACTATGAATAAAGCTGCTATAAACTAATTCCTGTTTGTATATAAGTTTTCAATTAATTTGTTAAATGCTGAAGACCACAATTGCTAAGTCATATGGTAAAATATGTTTGGTGGGAAATTGCCAGTCTATCTTCCAAAGTGCATTGCCACTTAATCTTCATTATCTTGACTGAAGTAAGAGTCTCCAGAAGAGGTGATCATGGGGGTGCTGTACTCACCAGTGGATTAGTCCATGGATGTTCCTAGTTGAATGGGCTGAAGGAGGTGGGTCCCTGGGGCTGTGCCTTTGGAAGATATATTTCACACTGGTGCCCTTCCACTGTGCTCTGTTTATCAGTTACCATGCAGTATCATAGCTTTACCACACCTTCCCAGCATGAAGTTCCTGCCTTGTAACCACCAGTCATAGACTGAAGCCTCTGGCACCATGAGCAAAAATAAACCTTTCCTCCTTAAAGTTAAATGTATCAGGTATTTGGTCCCAGTGACAAAAAGCTGAGTAATACAAGGACTGAACCATTTTACATTCCTACCAACAAAAAATGAGAATTTCTCTTGTTCCACATCCTTGCCAATTCCTTGGTGTTATCACTGTTTTGCATATTGGTTATTTTAATAGATGTATAGTGGTATCTCATTGTTTCAATTT